ATAAACTAAATTCTCACATCATATAGTCGGTGTGACTAAGCATCTCAATTTATGCACGGCGGGGAAGGTCCTGTTAAAGATGGAAAAGTTCAAGGCAACTCACTCTACATCGGGTACCTCCGCTAGTATTCTATAAAATAAACCAGTATCAGAAGAAATCGACAGCTAAATATTTTCGATTTTACGTTATACCCCCTCCATCTTGATGTCAATAGCAGGTTAATAAGTGCGAAAAAAAAAAATTTAACACGTGGCTTTTCAGAAATAGTCAACGGTAATATTATGACACTAAATGAAATGTCTTTTTCTTGCAGAAAACAACCACGAGGAGCGCAAAAGGTAACAAAAAAAAGTGAATTGAAAATATTCTTTTGATAAACAATGTTAAGTAATTTTTTATCAATGCGATGATGTTGCGACATCAGCTGTCAGTTGACCGCAAGATTCCGTTGATCTTGAACTCAGATCATTATATGCGATTAGTGGCATCAGCGTTTCACTTAGTGGAGAATCGCCATAACTAATATTCTGTTTTGATGCCAGAAGAAATCGTGCGAATTCGAAAATTGATTGTACGTAATAAAATAAAGACCTCTAAAAAATGAGCATATATTGTTGCTCCATTGAGGAAAATAACAGAAATATCATTTCGATCTTTGTATCATTTTTGTTGAATAAAAATAAAAATAAAACATCAGTTACTGGGATATTTGTAGATTTTAATCCAAATTTATCTCTCGGACAAAATTCTTCTTCATTTTCACGTCTTGATGTTCTAACGTTGGGCATTCTACATTAACAACCAGTAACAAACCTAACTCACTAGTAATCCGATCAAAATATGATAAAGTTGTTGGTTCAGAAAATGGAATCGACCACATAAACACCTAGTGTGAATGAGACTAAGGTTAAAAAGTTAGATGAAGAGAACAACGCGAGAAAATACGATATATCACCGTTTGTGATGTCGAAGAAGGCATATAACTTAATATTAATATAACTTAAAAACCGTTAACATAGAATAGTGCATATAACTTCGATTTCTGACATCTTTTATTCCTATTTGCACGTATTAAAACGTTTTTTTGAATATCAATACACAAAAAGAAATTCTAGAAAATATTAAAAAAAAAAAATCAGTTCTATATCTACGATTGTTCTACACGTAAGTAGTATGATAGTACGTTCTCTGCACATAAAATGTACAGATAATAACCGACAAATTGGCTGTCTTTAAACATACTTTGTACGAAGTGGTTTATTGAAATTATTCGTTTCGAACTCTTAAAGACACCCTCTTTTTCCACATTTCTGACTGGGTGACATCATCCACCACATGGATCGATCGTTGATGATATTAACAAAGTTCGAGACGAGTTTAAAAATAAATAAAGCATCTTGCAGCGCTCTTTCAACGGTTTTCATTCCACCGTTGATTTCAAAAATATACTGGAAGGGGCCATCTTCGTTAAAACGAATAATAATTAGCATTCATTAAGGATTAAATACATATAATCCATATTGATGATTCTTCAAATACATTCTTCTAATTCCATTTCATAACCGATTTTGCCGGATGTAAACTCCACTTCCGTGCAACTTTTTACTTTAAATACAGTATATGGTGCAATTAGAACCTCTTTTTCAGATTTAAATACTGATAAATTTTCAATATCTAATGCTGTATGTTTATTTAATACCTTATATGTACATACTATCGGATATTTGTGATTACTAATATTGTAATCATCATTCAACGCAAATTCAGTTGCTATGGTTTTACTTTTTGATGTTGATAAAAAAGATTTAGTCATAATAGGTTTATCGTTAACTTTATACAGTTCTAAATCATTCTGACTTAATTTCATACCACGATAACAAGATTTACCAAAAAATCGATATTCTTTTAATTTTGAATGTTGTGCAATAATACCAGCTAAACAGCCATGAGTAGTCCAAAACTTTAAAAATGGATCATTATATGCAAACCATTTAACATTTAATACATCTCGAGATGTTGCAGCTAAATCACGATTCAACTGATGACAAAATTCCGTGTCTAATGTATAAGCTTCAATAATAGATTTAGGATTATTGTTTCTATCTGCTTCAATAAATAGTTGTTTAATTTTTTCAATACCAGCTATATTTTGTAAATCTTTATCTAGATATTTAGTAATAATTGTTGGTATTGAATCTCGAATATCATAACTTAATTTCTTTAATGTAGAACGGTATTTTATTGCATTTTTAACAAGATTTGTGTCATCAATTATTAACCAATCAACTTTAGACTCTTGTGGAGTTGGACATTCTAGTAAACATCTTATTTCATTTGTTGCAGCTTCTTGTAACGGTGTATTACCGTATCCATTTATAATCGAACGATTCGCTTTAGCGTTTATTAATAATTCCACAATATCTTTATAACCATAATAACATGCTGCATGAAGTGCTGTACTCCTGTTTGGTTCGATACGATTTATATCATCAATTGTTGTCCATCTAAGAGTTCGTTTAACATTATCAACAGCATTTATCCGAACGTAAAAGTATAATTTACTTGATTTCTTAGGATCATAAGCCATTTGAAACTATTTGTATACTATATCGATAGAATGAAACATCATTTTTCAAATCTTAAATATGAAAGAAGCAAACTTACTTTTTGTTTTACCATATCCAATTGAGTCATCTTTTTTGATCGTTTACTCCATTACTGTCATCGGTATTTTCTTTATTTTGTTAGTGACAGGTAACAGAGAAATATATAGGAACATCTCAACTCGCGCTCATCGTTATCTCAGTCGTCATTGCAATGACCTTCATTGCTTGGATGTGGGCATTGATCGTAGGATGTCGCTCCAAATCACATGCACTTGAAAATGACAAGAATTGCTGTCAATACTGGTGTGGATATAAATGTTGTCATCATTGCTGCAGGAAATGTGGTAGATTACAATGTTTGAAACGTTGTGGAAGGTGCTGTAAACGTTGTTGTAACTGGAAGTTTTGTAAATGCTGTTGATACATTTGTTTGAACCCGTACAAACTGTATCCATGGGATTGTTTCTGGGACTGCTGTAAATGTGTTTGCTGCAGTCCTCTTACAGACAACGGGAAAGAGCTACCGCCTGTTATTTGCTGCTGGGCCTGTGAACAATCTGAGCGAGGACAAACACCCACCAGAAACTGTCAGCCGCAAAAGTCATTGGATTCAATGGTTACAGTTATTTCGCCTCCCAGATCAGCAAAGCTGCATTTGCCGTCTTCGACGTTCGCCGACAAAAATAGCTGAGAAACCTCGACAACGGAAACTACAACAATCTTGTTTTTCTTTACCTTCACTTCTATTGAAAAATGTATTACAGTTTCTGCATTCTTGGAAAGAACTCGTAATATTTTGTGCGCGTTTATTTTTTGTGCGCGTAATATTTTGTGCGGTTTTCTAGATACCTTGCGGTGCTATTCAATGCGTGATCATCCCGATGGGAGCTGTAACGGGCTAGTAATGATTTTGTGGGCTACGTCCAATGTAGGAACATCTCAACTTGCGCTCATCGTTATCTCAGTCGTCATTGCAACAAACATTGAAGAGAATTTTTCTTTCTTGTTTTTTCCTTGTCCTTGTTAAATTAAGAGCTCTATCGAATGTTCACTTCAAAATTTTCTGAAAAATGACTAGTTGAAATAAAAACGAAGGTCACCTAGGGAATTTTTGCTTAAAGCAGAATATTGTGTAATTTTTGAACAGATTGATTCATCTATTCAATTGACGCATCTAAATCTGTATTGGGTTTAGGTTAATACCTTCTGATTACCGAGATATGGGTGTCATCATGTTCTTGGTCTTTAATCGGTATTGATGTAAGAGGAAGAATCGAGATTTGATAATATAGTACAATGAGATGTTGTCTTACTTATATTCTTTTAAAGCAATGAAAACTGTACAAACTAGTTCGGTAATGGGAAATAGAGGCTAGTTCTTCTAGGAAAAATGGGTCATTTATGAAAAAAATCGATCATACCCATATCACATGTGCGCAGTAAAATAACTGTGAAAACCCAAACGATATACAGAAACAAATTCTAATTTTGTCGAAAACTGTATGAGTATGAGCTCTATCTGCCACGTTCATGTCGAGGTCTGAAATCCATCTGCGTCTATGGGAAAAAAAATCTTTACTAGAAAAAAGTGTACCACAATAAGGTATATTTTGGACTTAAACTTGATTTTTTCTGGTCTGATTTACTTATCAACCAGTTTTAACACCATATTCGTAATCTACGAACAAAATTGAGTCGGACGGAGTATTAAACATATATTCAAAACACAAAAACGCTTTTTGGGGACAAGAAACCCTACGGAAGATCTTGATGGAGCCTGTCTCTCGAAAAGCACAAATTTACCGGCCAAGTCACATGTAGTTTTATAGAGTATTCAATTCTGAACAAACTGTACCCTTTAGATTCAGCTTGTGTTACAAAGGAAAAGTGTTTAGACTTATTTTACATATAGTATACAGGACGATATTGAACATCGAAAGGTCATTGATCAGAAAATCTTGCCCAAAAGGGACACAGGTTTCTAGTTATACACGATTAGATAGCCTGTGAAATTCTCTACAAACTGACCTAGTTAGAATATCTTGACTGATGGGATCAGTCACAAAAGCCATGCAAAGAACGCGTTGAACTACCGAAAACAGCTGCATAATACTCTTTTAGAAGTCTTTTTTGTCTTAATGAAAAGCGATATGTTTTTCAAAAGAATATCAGTGGATAGCTCGTGAAAGTCTCTACAAACTGAGCTGGTCAAAATATCTAAACAGACGGGACCAGTCATTAAAGATATGCAAAAGAAGCGTTTGAATGTTATATATGCAGTACAGTGTTTCATAATCAGAAGAACCTCTTTGTTTTTGATATTTCAGTAAAAGCTGGAACAAATCTGAATACTGTTTTGAATAGCCCGAAGATTTTTCTATCAGATGAGGCGCATATCACTATTGTACGAGAAAACAAACGCTGGAACAAATCGCGAAAACGACAAGAGCAGTAGAGTTCGTTCTTGTGTCATGCAAACAAGTATCGAAGTCACCTTCATTTGACTACAAGCTTTGTAAGATTTGGCTTGGGATTCGCCGTAACCGTTCTAGAGAGTACAGTTTTGGTCCAAAGCAATGGGCCCTCTAAACGAAAAGTATTTAACAGGTTGAAGATAAAAACTTGATTTCAGGTAAATGACACTTTATTAATTGTTCTACAATGCGATATCATCGCAACAAAAACGTGAAAGTTTATCATTGAATAGTATGTCTAAACAATTACTACTTGGTTCATGCTCAATTTCACATTGAATTGAATTTAAAGAAATATAATCGTTTAACCATGACATTAGCGTTAATGATTCAAATTTTTCATAATTTAATTGAATCGTTAATGAATTTAACTTTTGCCTTGTCATAGTTCGTAGTATAACAGATAATAGTAAGTATAAATCATTTCCATTGATCATATTGACTGACAAATATTCAAGATTAATCAATGCCAAACATAATTTCTTCATCATCTTCGAGTTATCTTCTTCATATGACTCAATATACAAACGCTTTACAATATGTTTCAATTGATCAAGATCATTGGACATTTTTGATAGAATTTTGGAAGAACAACGTAAGGAATATATTTGTGATGTTTTCTTAAATAGTTTAACCAGAAAATCCGTTGGATACGTAGCATCGATCAATATCAGCGATTTTAAATTTGATAATGAACAGATTTCTGATAAATCGTCAAGTAATTTATCCGTGGATACATTAGACGGCAATTTTGATTTTAATGATAATGTACCAACATTGGGAAAATATTTATTAGCGGAATTCTCAACGAAATCGTAGAGTTTTAAACCAAGTATGTTTACATTTGGAAATGGTTTATTTTCATGGCTTGTCATAAATCGTTTTACATTGTATAAACTTGTTTCAAAAAAAGTTCTCGTATATGGTAATGTATAAACAAATAGACAAGATCGATTCGACGAGTAATCATCAACTAAAAGAGTATCACAGAGTTCAGTAAAATCACGAGATACCCGGTATGGTATTGGAGATTATTCAGTCTAAAAAGTGCGGTTTCTCACTTTCGAATATTTAGCCCACCGTATATGGGAGAACTGCGATCCGTATGTACCGTTTTGGTAAAATTTATCGTTCAGTTTATAGCGCCTGTTATATGCATCGAAAGTTAACAAACTTTTTTTGTTTTACTCATAAGATTTCTCTCTAGTTGTGCTGCTAAAATGACTGCGTTATTTCTACCCCATCTTGAGATATTGGAAAAGAAATTCTAGTTTTCAGCAGTTTCGGCTACAAATCTACAGTATTTTCGAAAAAAGTTTTTGTTTTGATTTACTAGGTCTGAAAACGCATGGTTACGAAAAAAGGAGAAAATATCCCGCCACGGTCCTCGAGCATGTTCCAGGTGTAATAATCTCGAAAATGAACGAAGACATAGGTTATCCACCACGTTGAATTTCGTGGCAATGTTTGCTTTTCGAAAAACAATTCAAAAACTTAGTAAAATCCACTATTGGGTGAAATATCTCATTTTTCTGTCATTTCGCGTTAAATTAGAAAATTGGTAACTCAGTCAACATAGGTGCAAACGACGTCGGAATATCAAAATATACTCTGTTTTATCTGCGCAATATGATTCTGCGCTTAAGATTAGTAAAAAATCTTGTCTTCTAAAGATTTCTAGAAAACCTTGTCAGGAACCAAAGTATTCTCGATTGGTATTTAAAAGTTCTGTTGAATGTGTATGTACTGCACTTAAAATAGATTATATTTTGATATTCTGTCGTCGTTTGCATCGATGTTGACTGATGAGGGAACATATTTAGGTGATTAAGCCGTTTAGACTCTATCTTTTGGTTATAAGTAGACCTTGATGAGGTATGAAAAAGCGGAAAAGGATTCGTTCCCTGGCGCCTTTATTCCCGAGATATCGACCTTTTATTAAACTTTCCTCGGTTAGACTAGCTTGTGGAGAAAATTTCAGAATTTTCGAATGTGGTACCTCAGCGATATAAATTTTTCAAGGTATATGCGCTTTTTCAAAGATATTTAAAAAAGTATGGTAATTTTAAAAAATTTCTATCGCTGAAAACAGAGTATATTTTGATACTCCGATCGTTTGCATTTATGTTGACTGAGTTATCAATTTTCTAATTTAACGCGAAATGACAGAAAAATGAGATATTTCACCCAATAGTGAATTTTACTAAGTTTTTCAATTGTTTTCGAAAAGCAAACATTGCCACGAAATTCAACGTGGTGGATAACCTATGTCTTCGTTCATTTTCAAGATTATTAATACAATCATTCCTGGTATGTCAAAAATCGAGCTTTCGGTTTTTAGTTGTTTGACAACACTCAAAAAACCTTGGTACATGTTTTTGATAATTATATGTAAAAATTTGCTTGAAATATGTAACTAATTATGCAGAGTACCAGCAAACGCTCGGAATTCGGTAAAAGCACAACTTTCAGATAATCCTACATAAAAATTAACTGGCTTGCTACGAATCATAGGTTCAGCGAGTAGTATTGAAAATGATGTAAGTATATGTAAATCATCACGGACAATTCGATTCTGTGCAAACCAAGAACCAAAACCGTTTATTTAACGCGAAATTCAATGATGCCGAGACCATGCTGCTCTTATCTTCGTCTAAAAAGCTACAGTAGGATATCAATGTGAAAGCTACCTTCATACGTAGTTTTATGCACTTTTTCAAAAAAAAGAGGCAGAGAAAAACGGGGGGCGCCAAAAATGAGGCACTATTTTCTAGTTAAAATAAGTTACCCATGAAAAGAAATGAATATGTTCATACCTGAACGCCAGTTTAGTATTCCAGAGATCCTTTGCAAACCTTACTTTTAAAATCTTTTCTCATAAGCTAAAATGTGATCATGTATCGAATAATGAAAATCACGAGCCGCTAGCTATCACTGTTCAAAAAGCAATTTTGACAGGTGCCGTTTATGTGATGGACAGTAGTTATCAAGCCTGGGTAACTAGGATATATTAGACACTAGAGCCATAACAAATAAGTAATGTTAGACTGCATTCACAATGTGAATTTCGCATTGTATGTCTTTATTTCTTTCTTTCGTGTGCTTTAGACTGAAGGGAGCAGAAGAGAGAATTCTCTTTCTCATGCGTGCAGAAACGAAAAAACAAGGAAGAAACATTTCTGCTTCCATCTCGCGTAAAAGAAGAGAGAACTTTACGCATTTCACGTGATGACTGAAAAAGGTTTTAGCAATGTTTTGTTGATGTTTTTGCATTTATTTTCATAAAAGAAACTCCACTCTGTACCAATGAGCATAGCTGCAACTCTTTTAGTTGTGTTAATATCTTTCATTCATAACCAGTAAATACTTAAAAACAAATTAATTTTTCCTTTAATTGAAATCGTTTGAATGATTCTTACTCGTATGAATTTTTTTGTTTTAGCAATGAATCGAGGAAGCTGGATCGAAAAAACTCGTCCATCCTTTTTTGATTACAGGAAAATGAATGAGCTTGAAAAACGAACAAAAACTTTTAGTAAACTTTTAGTACGATATTTGGATAGAGCGCACTTAAATACACATACTTCAACTATCTTTTTTCTTTTCGAGAAGTGATAAAATTGATAACAACTGGAACTTGCTCGTCCCTATAATTTTTTGTATTAAAGTACAATCATGAACAGTTTTTTGTTCATATTTCGATCATTTGTTGGTTTGTTTTTACTTATTTACGGTTATGAATGAAAGATATTAACTCAACTGAAAGAGTTGCAGCTATGCTCATTGGTACAGAGTGGAGTTTCTTTTATGAAAATAAATGCATACTTTTACTAAAACCAGAGCTGGGCCAGTCAAAAATGCCTCAAACTCGAAGTCAAGTCTGACCTGACTTAGCTAAAAGATTTTCTGGGGTATGACTTGACTTGAGAAATTTTTTTCAAACCAAGTGATTTCTAGTAAGAGGTTTTCCTTTAAATTAGGCATTTTCTACCATGAAGGAGAGTTTCTAAGGCTACAAAAACTTTCTCACCCAAAAGATGCTAGCAAATTTTATGTTCTGCCTAATTTTAACCAGATTGACCTGACTTGGAGGAAAAAATTTCCGACCTCGACCTGACTTGTCCAGCTCCGAGTAAAAACATCATCAAAACATTGTTAAAACCTTTCTCAGTCATCACGTGAAATGCATAAAGTTCTCTCTTCTTTTACGCGAGATGGAAGTAGAAATGTTTCTTCCTTGTTTTGTCGTTTCTGCACGCATGAGAAAGAGAATTCTCTCTTTTTCTCCCTTCAGTCTAAAGCACACGAAAGAAAGAAACAAAGACATACAATGCGAAATTCACATTGTGAATGCAGTCTAACATTACTTATTTGCTACAGCTCTAGTAACAGGTCTGTCGACTATTTTATTGGCTCTTTCATTCATTCTTTCTGATTCTTACAAATATCTGTATTTTCGTATAATGATTCTAAGAAAGAAAATCAGTTAGATTGACAAACGAGCGTTGTAGCGCATGTTTTTCCAAGATGATATAATTAAATGTGCTCTAGACTATTTTGCGTGGATTATGTACTGTAATAAAAGCTTGTTAAAGACCTGAAATACAATGCACGGGATAATTACCTTTTCGATTCACAAACCAATGACCAAGTCCGAAATTTTAAATCATGAAGAATCTCATCACAGAATCGATCAGGTGATTTCTGCGGCAGTTCATTTTACAATTCTGAATGAGGTTTTAAATTTTTAGGCTTTTGAACCATAACTCCACGGGGTTAATTCGCAAAAACTAGATGTTGGATCATGTTTGAGCCGAAATGTATCAGTCTTTGATCGATTCATGCAGTTAAATCGTGAATCTCACCTAAGTCGATTCCAATGTACCATTTATGATCGAGCCAAAATTGTGTTTTATATGTTTCGATTATATGGTTTATATCGAGTAATGTTTCTTGTTGATAGTTAAGTACTGTAAGTCTTAATATGAACCGACGCAATAATGGTAAATATTGATTTATCATTTGTTCCCACCTTAAACCACTGACAAGTTCTCTATCGTATAATGTCATTTTTAAATATTTTAAATTTGGAATGCATTTTAGCAAGGTTTCAATATTCGACAGAGGAACAAAATAATTTAATTTTAAATGTGTCAATGTTGGTAAAAATACAACTGGTATTAAATACTCGGAAGACACTGGATAATGACGAAAATGTGTCTCTGAATGAGCAGCTAAACGTCTTAGTTTTGGCAGATATTGAAATAATCGCATTAAGTCTTGAATTAATATATTACCAATTTCTAAATATTCAATATTTGATGTTGAAATTTTATCAAGTTTTCGAATAAAATCATAAAATGTTAAAACACATCTTTTTAATACTGACATTGTTTGACTACATAATACCATTTCGCATAATTTTTGCGCATAAAACCCTTGTTGGCGGACTGAAAATAAAATTTTCAATGTTGTCAAGCTACGCCGTAGTTTTGGTAAAATATCTAGCAGTTTTTTAGCATCATTTGATGATAAACTAATGAGACGTAATTGTTTAATATTTGTAAATTCTTCAAGATTAAATAACGAATGAAATTCTTTGAAACGATTGTGTTTGCTTGTCAAACTTAACGAAACAATTTGTCGTTGAGGATTGAACATATGAACAAGAATCTTTTGACAATAAAAATTGAACATGATATTTGTAGTAAAACATAATTCAGTTCTTGCATAACAAAGACGAATTACATTATTCAGATGTTGATTTTGATTGAAAAATGAATGATAAAGGGCTGACGGTTCTAATCGTAGAAATATGTCTAAAATTATCTCGGGAGGTAGTTGTTCAAATTGCAACATTCTAAAACAGCAGGAAAAGTTGACGGCGTCGTTTCCTTTACGAAGTCTGTATCAGTGTTTTTCGTTAGAGGGAACTTTTTGAATCGTATAAAATGTAGACAAATTCTTTCAAACTTACTTTCTTTCAACCGAAATAGAAGTTGTGTAACGTTCAATTTTCACTTTTATATATCTCTACATATTCGGACGTTCAGATAACGTACAATAGATGAAATATAGAAAGACTATGTATATATTCGTCCAGCATTCACTCTCTTTTTTTCGTTTCTCTTGAACAACAGATTATATTGAATTTTTCATGTCCCATATATATAAAAATGAAAATTATTGAAGCTCATTTTCAACTGGTTGTCTACCCTAAGGCCTAAAAAAAAGAAAAAAAGATGTTGGATGCCGTTACGGCGACGAATAATTATTATCATATTGGCCATTATTCCTGCATGTCTTCACAGTCTCCATAGTAAAACCAATTTGCGTGAAAATCATTTGAGCCGCGACATACTGATTTTTATTGCAATAAATTTCTATTATAAAACACTTAAAGGGTGGACAAGAAGTCCGGACTCGATTTCCCGACCGCGGGCTTCAGAAATTTTATTGAACTCAACCGTTCCAGAAATCTCTGTTCCTACAAGCAGAACAAAGACGTTCTGTCTGTGAGAAAAGAATTCACAGAACAGAACACAATTATCCCGTTATCTGGGAAATTTCCCCAAGGAAAGTACCGGATTGTTCTGTTCTGGGAACATAACTGTTTTGTTTCTGGAATCGGATTATTCCGTTTTGGGGGAAGAATATTGAGAGAAATATCACTATTTTATTTTAAAAGAAAACAACGCACTTCGCCACTCCGAACCATTGTACGGAGTGCTATGGAGTGCGGTTTACTCCGTGGAGTGGCGAAGTGAGCTTTTTCCGCCTTGCCTTGTACACTAATGCACTTATTCATTCTTTCAAACCATTGTTCATAGCATTGGTAGAAATCTTCTTTTCGAAGACCGTCCATTTGCTCCTGGACAGCAGCATGAAGTTCATTAATATCCTGGAAATGTTTTCCACGAAGTTGTTCTTTAATTTTTGGAAATAACCAGAAGTCGCAGGGACTTAAGTCTGGTGAACACGCTGGATGACCCATTAATTTAACACGTTGAATATTTAAATATTCCATTGTTTGTGTTGCCTTGTGAGCTGATGCATTGTCATAGTGAATAATAAGATCATTAAGACGTCGACGTTCCTCTACTTGTTTTAAAACATTTGAAGAACATTCATCTGTATACCACTTAGCTGTAACTGTCTTACCGTTTTCAAGAGGAATGATTGTATTAAAATCAGATTTCATAAAGAAAATTACAAACATATGTTTGCCGACAGAACGTTATCGACGAACTTTCGTTGGGTGAGGATCACTTCTTGCAACCCAAATTTGGCTTTGGCGCTTCGTCTCTGGATCATAATAGTAAAACCAGCTTTCATCACCAGTAATAATGTCATAAACACGTTTTGATCTTCCGCCATCGAACTTTTCGAGCATTTCCAGGCAATAATCAACACGATCCTGCTTTTGAGCTTTAGTTAAAAAATGTGGCACCCACCGACGTGTAATCTTTCTTAAACCTAAATAATCAATAAATAGATTGAAGAATCAATGAATAGATTCAGTTGCTGCCGATCCAATCTGTAAGATGTCCTGTATCTGTTGATATGTAATGTGTGGATCATCGGCGATCAGCTGACGGACAGCTTCAATGTTTTCTGGAGTGACTGCACTTCTTGGTCGACCGACACGGGGTTCATCTTCAAAGTGATCTCTGCCCCGATTGAATTCAGCATACCAATTATAAACCGTTGCACGTGATACACAAGAGTCACCAAATGTCTTTTGTAAAGACTCAAGACATTCTTGCAGTGATAATTTTTTTTTGTAATCATAATAAATCATAACTCAAATTTGATCACGTGTAAGATCCATAGTAATAACAAAAAAATGTGTTAGTAGTATATCAATTAATCTACAAAAAAAACAAAGGGAAAACGTTCAAGAGCGAAAACTTTGTGGACCAAAGTCATAGATAGTATTAAGCAGGTAAAATAGAGTACATCTTGATATTATGATATAATCTGAATAGTTCAATCAGAGTCTGTTTGGTCGAGAAACCTTCCTTGGAATTGATCAGGATGAAACAGGACGTTGTTTCATTAGAAGGAATTTTCCAGTACAAATGATGAATTCTGTCGACTGTGCGTGAATTATCATCCTGATTTGACATTAGCCTAGGCTAATATTACATTAGACATTGAACAAAGATGGGAAATGTAAGAAAATGTATTTACAATTTCTTACATTTTACAATCTTTCTCAGCTGACCAGAAGAAAAAGAGAACGTAAAAAAAAGACGCCTCTATTTTTCTCTTTCCGTTCTATATATATCTTGCACATTGAGAAACTCTTGTATTTTCGTCAATCAAGATTCCGTTATTTTTTTCTCTTTCGCCTGCTAAATGGGAGAAAAAACTTCAAAAAATGAAAGTATTTTTCCGAGCTAGAATCTGGACTATTCATTTATTACGTGATCAAAACAACGTAGGCACACAATAGTAAACAAACAAAAAACAAAATCTTTGTTCAAAAAAAATGAAAAGAGAAATAATATCATAACATTGGTTCCTGTTCATTTTCTAACAAAAAAGTTAGAAAAACTGTACTGTATACATTATCCAAATGTTCAAAGGTGTATGAGAAGCCCAATTATATACAAACAAACAATCTTTCAATAAAAGCGAGCAAATATAAAATCACTCCCTAAATGGGAAACACTGGCACGTGCTGGCTGTTTCGATTACAACTCTAAATAAAATATAGCAAAAACAAAACACTAAGAAACGACGGTTTCCAATCGAACAAAGTGGAAAAAGTTGATCAAGTTTCCCCACCGGCTCTTGATCTTCACATGTAAAAAAAACGAATAAAAGCTGTTCTGTCGTTCTTAACTAACGAGAAAGGATAAAAAAAAATCAATAGAAGAATTATGTACAAACATGAAATCACTACTTTTGAAAACTCTAACATCATTGAAGAGTAAAGAGAATAAAAGAAAGACAATTTCTTGATTAGGATAAAAGGTTCAAATTAAAGAAATATAGAATTCTTATTCTAAATTAATAAAGGGAATAATTTTCTTTTGAACATACTGTTCCATCGGTAAAATAACATTCTCAACACGAGATATTAATGAATCAGCTCTAGCAGATGGACATCGTTTTCTTTTCTTATCACTTGCACGATCAAAACTGTCAATATCAAGGTCTTCTTCATAATCGTCGTCGTTCTGCGGTGCCTTTCTGTTTAAATCATTAAGAAGTAAAGGGCACTTTGGAGGATTCCTTGCTGCTGCTGTGGTTGATGCCGATGATGATGTAGTTTGAGATAAATTTTTAGAATATAATTTTCGAATAGTCGAGGAAGCAGTCGAAGCTGCATTGAAGACAGTAGCAGACGACGATGGTGACCTGACTGCTGTTGGTTTTGAGCTAGAAGCCGATGTCGGCGATAGTTGTAATAGTATTTGTATGATTCTTTTCAAATTCAACGGCTCTTGCTGTGATACTTTGGTTGAAATAGCGAGAAACAATGATAATAACTTCTCTTGTGTTTGAAAGTGTAGAGAGAATAATATATTGAGAAGTTTTGATAGAGTTTCATTGTTATCTCCGTCATGTTTTTCATTGATAGACGATTTTAGAGAAGTAGATTGGCGAGGTTGTTCAATTAGAATTACATCATCATACATTGTCGGTTTTATATCATCGTTCGATGTTGGTTTTATATCAAAATAGATTTGTGATTTAGACTCATTACATGAATAGAGACTAGGATCTTGTGGTTCAGCTGTTTCCAAAGTATTAACTGCATCAACTGTTGAAGAATTTGCATTTGGAAGTTGAGAGAGAAGATCTTCTATAATTCTTTGACTTTCATCCTAAAAGCACAGAGTGAAAGAGATGTGACTCACAGTAGATAGAAAGTGTTTGACTGTGTAAGAAATGAATACAGAAGAGGAAAGTAAAAAAATTTTCCAGTCTAACTTCTTTTTGAGATATAAGCCGAAATAGGGCTTTCCCTCGCTTAATTTCAACAGGAGAACTTTTTCCTTCGAACTTCAGGGCCGGTCGAAAATTGAAAAGCTCGAATTTTATAAGAAAGGCCAACGTTCTCTGTAATGAATGCTGCAGAACATTGAAGTTTTCAGTGGATACACATGGTGTGGAAGGGAATCGATCCGTTAAACATCAGCTTCGAAACACCTTTCGATCGGTTTTGAGAAAAAATTGGTTTAACCATTCGATGAAATGCACTTATAGTTTTCTAGAAAAATTTTTGAAAATTAGAAATTCACGAAAATTAGCTTCTATTCCTTAGAAAGACAGGCTGTAAAAACAGCTTCAAAATCAGATCTCTCTCAGGTTTTCTCGAGCTTGTTTTTTCGGAATTCATATTCTGAATAAAAAAACACTGTTTATCGGATAAATCAGATGCATTATCCCTAGAGAAAAAGTATTTCTTCTCTCAGGTGAATTCCGAAAAAATAGCTCGAGGAAACCTGAGAGAGATCTGATTTTGAAGCTGTTTTTACAGCCTGTCTTTCTAAGGAATGGAAGCTAATTTTCGTGAATTTCTAATTTTCAAAAATTTTTCTAGAAAACTATAAGTGCATTTCATCGAATGGTTAAACCAATTTTTTCTCAAAACCGATCGAAAGGTGTTTCGAAGCTGATGTTTAACGGATCGATTCCCTTCCACACCATGTGTATCCACTGAAAACTTCAATGTTCTGCTGCATTCATTTGCAACAAATTCTCAATTAATTGAAAAATCGGAGTTCTTCGAGATTGGCTGAACTCATTAGAAATGAAGTATCTCTTGCCCTAGTCTTACTGGACACGAACAGACACACTTACTTCATAGTCCTGTTCTAATTCCTGATCAATTTGACTTCCTTCAACCAATATCGTTTGTGCATTCTGTTGTTGCTTCGGTTCATTTAGATTATTATCTAATGAATTTAAAAAATCATCATCAAATCGATCATTCGGTTGAGGCCAAAACATCAATGGATCCGAACTTCGTGTTAAGGCTACTCTAAAATTCGATAGAAAAAAGAAAGGTTAATTCAGAAGAAAGTAAACAAAGTAATTCGCTTACCGTTTAGCTGACCTGGCTAGTACACCGTTTATTCTTCGTGTCTTTTTTGCTGTTAAATCCAAGGTATTGTAATATTGAGTTAAGTTGCCGTAGTCCTTTAAAGTGATTTCATTGGCAACAGCTCTTGAATTTTTATATCGATTATACAAAGTCAATACAATTTCTTCTTCTTGTTCTGTTATCTGACAGTATGAACTTGTAGTTGATTTGGAATAAGATTGAGACTTAGTAGCAATCAGGCATGTGACAGTTCCATTTCAGCTCATAGAGCTGGAACTGGCCGAAGCAGTTCACGTTCATATGAACTGGAGCTGGTGACCAGTTCAGTTCATGTGAACTGGAGCTGATGACCAGTTCAGTTCATGTGAACTGGAGCTGGTGACTAGTTTTAGTTCTCTACAAATGCGTCATTTGATGACAACTATCGTTAAAAAATTGAAAATGTTTTCAAAGTTCGCTCTTAACGACATTCAAAAGTACTCAGAGATTAATCACAATATCAGATGTGTAAAGGAAAACGAGTATTTCGTCGATCGAGTTCAATTACATGCTCTCTTTCGAATTTTACAATCAAGATCTGAGCATGTTTTACAGAGTACTTCGTACTACGGAGTTCGTAGTACAGATGATTTGCGTTAGTCACCGAGTCGTATTGGACGTTGAGGTGGGCAGTTTGTGTGGAAAGCGCGGTTATGTACGTAGTTAATGTTTATTCTACCATGATGTTAATAACGTGAGGTCTTCACGAGTCGTGAAGATTTTGTCGTGAATCACGACAAAATCGATCGATAAAAGAAAAGAAAGCAGAAAATATTCGATAAAAAGCAAACAACTAACGAAATAAAAAAGTCACTCGGCGCGTTTTTGAAAAGGATCTTCTTTCGTTCAAAATAAAAACTAAATCTTGTCTTTTAGAAACATTGTGTATTTCACATTTTTTGACGTAAGTGCCAATCGATTTTTTCGAAGGACATAATTGGAGATCGAGAAGGCCGACTCACTTGGTATACTGCTTGCAGATATACAGAGATATTTACTAACGAGTGCTGCCAGTTTGGGTAGTGTTTTGCTGTGCTCTTCCCAAAATGAATTGAATTCAAATTCATCCTTTGGAATCGAAGATAATTTGGCTAGTTCTTGTTCAATCGTTAGCGCTTTGCGGGTACCAATTTGGCCATTACCAGATGCCACACCACATTTACTGAGAAAGCTTTTGATCACAATGTCACCTTTCGATGCCAAATTTGCATTCGCATCAGCGGTGGACGTGGTTGCCAGTGAGATGGGTGGATTGTTGTTCGTGCGGACTTTTTCTTTCACCTATATATAAATGTCTCGTTTCACTTCTAATGTGAGCATTTATAAATTTAAAAAAAGAATTGTTTTTCAAACTCGTCTTCAAGTGACCTCTGTTCTGTATTCTCGTTTTGCTTCTCTGTCACTGGTTAACGTCGTCTTATCAATTAGCAGTATCCTCAAGAAACCTTTCTTTTCTTTCCATCTTTCCATCTTTTCTCTCTTTCTTTTTTTTACTGCAAAAAATTGAGCGAGCTCAAGAATATTTTGTACCAATGGATACTTGTGAATAAAGCCGCGTATCAATACATGGAAAATTTTCTCTATAAATCAACCTAGCTCTTTCGAACAAAAAGTTGTTCTCGTGAACAATCAGAATAA